AAAAATTACAGGTCATTTGCTCAGAGAATCCATATTACAATTGGGGAGATTAAATGTATACTCATATAGAGCGAGAAAAAGAACATAAAGGTGATTTAGAGTATAGCAAAATTATCTCAACTACAATGAAAAGAGAATTAATTTCCTTTTTTATATATGGCCCTTTAGATGAGTAAGATTTGACCAGGGTTAAGGGGGAGATTCCAAAGAGAGTAAAGAGCCAAAGCAAAGGTATGTGGACAGGAAATTATTAAGTTTGTACATGGAACAGTAGGAATTTTGGACAGAGGAATGGTGGAGAAGAGTAATGAAAATGAGTTAGCAAGGTTGGTCATATTTTGCTTGTCAACGCGCGTGCACACACACACAAATGACATAAATATTTTCATTTGATTTTAAAATGTCTTGTAATAAAGCACCTGTGACAACAAACTACATTGCTGTTGAATGCCCTAAACACACACACACAACTTTAAGTACCAAATTCTTTAGAAAACTATTAAACCACAAAATATATTTTAAAATAATTGTAAAGTGTTATGCAAATGTACAAGTGAGGAAATTTAGAATCGTGGCTAGAATCAGTCTAATTTACTTTCATTGTCTATCTAAAAGGAAGGAATTTAAAGCAAATGTATTCAAAGTCCTTCACAGAATGCTAACAAAAGAATATTTTAAAATGGAATTCCAGAAGCTTGTAATTTAATGTCCTATAATATTTCAGTTGTGTGATGACTGTCCTCAAGAATGTTATTATTATGAAAGAGTAAATCTGATGTGAACTGATTCCAGTAGTCAAACAATTCTATTTATAGACCTTACCAACATTCCACAGAAAAAGTTGCTTAAACAGAATTTCAAGCAGCTAGAAACAAAGTTAGAAATAAACAGAAATTTGATATGCAAAGAAAGTCTTAGAGCTTCCTTTCAATAATACTTTCAACTAACACACAGCTCCACATATTTTTTTTTCTGAGAGATCTTGCCATTTTCATTAATTGGTCCCCTATATTTTAGTTTTTGGCTTTCCATTTAATGTATCAAAATTAAGGAAATGATCAGAACTGGGTATCAAATATAAGGGAATACTAACCAAAAGTATCAGGAAATCATCTAAAGTCTTAGAACAACAATGACACCCATTTGACCTGAAAAAATCCCTTTGCCTGTTCAGGCACAAATAGAGACACTGTAGTCTCCCTATCTATATATATAAAAGCCTAAGCAACAGAACAACCGAATGACCTGTCGACTGATCACTATGAGTGCACTGACCACCAAGGGGGCAGATGCTCAATGCAGGAGCTGCCCCTGATGGTCAGTGTGCTCCCATAGCCAACTTCCTGCGGCTGGCCAACTTCCCACGGTCCCCCCCTCCCCCCCGGCCGGCCAACCAACCTCCTGAGGTCCCTCTCTCCCCCACCTCAGCCAGCTGGCCCCGATGGCCCCAATCGGGCCGGCAGCCAACCTCCTGCAGTCCCTCCCCTGGCTGGCTGGCCCCTATCGTGATTGGGCGAGATGGCCCTGATGGGCCCCATTCACTGGCCAGGCCAAGGGACCTCACCCTTGCACGAATTTGTGCACCGGGCCTCTAGTTTTATATATGATATCAGGGTT